TGAGCCTACTCTACACCAGACCCAAAATCTTCAACACTTTTAACTAAACTTCCTTCCTTTAACTAAACTTCCTAACTATTTGATATAATTTCTAAATACAAGCAGTCCGTATGCTTACTGTACCAAACTTTTTTTATTATTATTATTTCAAACAAATTCTGTACAAAACCAACAAACTAGGCAAAGAAATTCAGTGACTTCAGCAAACAGCACACAACAACTTGCAGAATGCTTTAGCGTTTACATTTTTATTATACAAGTGACAAGTAACTCTCCTTAGGGCTACTTAAAGATGAGAGTTCCCTGTTTGACAAATAAGTGCAGGTAAACATGTATTAACTTTATCTACCAAAGCTCAACAGAATGACCCAGAATCCACCTAAATTACCTATCTGAAAGTGACTATGAAGTAAGCAGCATTCTCCCAAGTATATGTTTGTAAATGTCCCCCCATTGAAAAATGGAGTCTATAAACAGTGTGATTTTCTACTTTAAGACATGGTGTGGTCACTACTCCCAGAAGAAAGCAAAGGTTACTACTAATTTCTGATTCTCTTCCTGATGGCAGAGCGGTCATCTGCTGCTACAACTGCAGATCTACAAAATGAACTCTAGAGTTGCACCGGCATAAAGTATTTTATGTAAAACATTAGCTTCTACAGGTTCTAAAGTGATGCAAAACCTGGCAGATCTGCTCAGAAATAAACTTAAGACAATTCCTATGCCGAAGAGTTTACAGTCTCAATACTGCTTAAGGACTGAGTTCAACGACTGAATTTGCCACAGCACAGATGAGTCTCAGCAGACCAAATACATCTTCAAAATATCCAGGGTAAAGCTTTTGGGAGTGAAAATTGAAAAATCCATGTGAATGCATGAAAATCCCAGTGACAGCACACAAACCCTGACTTACATACACAAAGATTAACAAACATAAATCTGTGCACAAGAACTGGAGTTTTCATGCATACAAGCAGGCAAAGTACACAAAAATGAACAGTTTCAGTATGTGACCTCTGCAAGAATATGTACAGCAACTGCAGATCACTCAAACACTTAACAGAGCAAGAGCACTTTGCTGCTTTTGGCAAAATATTTCTATTCCATTTACTGAAAAGTTTAGTGGAAATTATGAACCAACAACTCAGCAAGGAACCCAACTCTTGAAGGGTCATCACATCTAAAAATCAATGGGGAGCAGTGAGCTGAAGTATACTTCTGTGTTCACTCTGTGTTTAATTCGCAGTTGATGAATATCAGTATAAAGAAACTTGATTGAGTGCCTAATAGCAGCTCAACCCTTTAAACTTCTTTAAATTGTCCCTATTCTGATGAGGGCTATTTGACACTAGGGAAATTTGCTGCTGTGGAAGAGTGTTCTGCTTTAAACCATTTTATATCAGAAAAAAAAAAATACTTACCAGTTAGAGATGTCTCTAGCAGTTATTTATCATCATCTAGTTATGCTGGCTAACTCTTTTCTACTTAAATCAAGACATTAGAATTTTCTCTTTTCTTTCTAAACCTACTTAAAAGTATACAGACACGAAATCCAGCAGCAGCTCTTAGAACACGTTTTATGTTTATTTATATGGACCTTGAGAAAGGGCACGAATTTCTCAACAGTGAGTAGATACAAGCTATACTAAATAGAAGAGGTAAAATAACCTCTTTCACAATGCATATTTGAATGTCAGCTGGCCCATAATCGTTGAAATAAGAGGGTTCTCAACCTTCCATTTAATATAGGAAAGACAACACATTTTAAGAGGGTGATGAGCATTCATGTTACCTTCTAATCATAAATGAGCTTTGTATAGCTAAATGTCAAAAAAACTGTGCAGGTTTTTAACACACACCCAATATTTGAATTTTATTTTCACTTACAATTATTTTCTACTCCTTTAAATTTTACTTCTCTGATAACTATTCAATATTTCTGTTTATTTAATTCCATTTTGTCTTTACTACTTACTTCTGTGGAAGAGAAGGCTGAGGATTAAAATGCACAGATGATACACTGTTGTAGATGTAGATGAAATATTTAAGTAAAAAGGCATTTTAAAAGTCAAAAGATAAAGGCTAGCATAAAACCTTAGGCTGCACTATATAAAGTCAGTCAGGTTATGACTACAGGTTCATATATTTTAGCAGTGTGAAGTAAATGGTTATGTAAATACACACAAGTATTAACATCAAACAGTATTAAATTATGTAAACATACACATCTTCTGTGGCCAATACAAACATCTATTTGTCTCAGGATGCTACTGCAGCATAGCTCGGATTTGTTTTGAAGTAGATTCATCATTCAGGTGTTTTGTAGTGAACCTAGAAATTAAAAGGATCGATTAAAACAGCATTTTTAAAATAAATAGAAAAGTGAACACTGCATAGCCTGTTTTAGAAATGAATACAGTTCTACTATGTATTTAAGGACACATAGATACTCACCGATCACTAGAGCTTAACTGCTAATAGTCTGTCAGGTCCGTTTTATCTTCAATACACTCTTTAAAACAAATGATCCCCTGTGAGCAGGTGGGGAATTGTGGTTCCTGGCCTCAAGTGAACACTCACAGTAACCTCTATTCAACAAGTATGTTAATTTAAATTTTAAAGATGGGTCTGCAGTCAAACCCACCTGTGACTGAGCAGGAAACTGAATTCAAAACTTATTCCAAGGGCAGCACTTAATACTGTTTACCATTTGTCTACAAAAATTTTTTCAGGAATTCTCTCTGGGTTGAAGCTGGGTTGAATATAGGCAGACACTTTATCTTTGGTTTCACTTAGAGGTCTCAAAGGAAAGAAAAACATGGAAAGACATAGGAATTAGAGTGAAAACTACAAAAGGAAGCTGGGTTGAATATAGGCAGACACTAGGAACATAATTTTAAGAGTGAGTTTCTTAAAGGTCCTGTATCCTTACATCTTCTGATGTACAATTACACAGAGTTTTTTGTTTTGTGTTGTTCTATTTTAAACTCGTATCACTTGGTCCTATGCATCTCCTCTCAATTTCAGGAAGTCAGATCATTATGCCTTGCTTCCTAAGAAAGTGTCTTAAATGCTTAGCTACAAGATTGGGATTTAGGTTGCTGTCTTCTTGTAGATGTGCAATTTAGCAGGATTTTTTTAAAAAATGGCTCAGAATTCTGAAATTTGTTCTAAGAAAAACTGCCTAACAATTAGTTGTTGAGTATCATACACAGCTCTAGGTGATTTGTTATAAATGACTTAAGAAGTCTAAAGGAGAGTCTACAGTGAAATCTGTGTCATTTAACTAGTTTTTCTATAACTGAAGTTATCTAATTTAAACTTAATGTTTTGGAGCTGTCTCTGAACAATGAAGACAGAAAAATAATTTGTCTTATCTTAGAAAGAAATAGTATAAAATATTCTGCAAAGATGCCAGTTTCTTCTATTTGAGTATTATGTGAGTCTGGAAATCTCCCTTACACCTAATATTTACATATTGGTTGGTAAAATTTTGGGGAGATTAAACAGGCCTTTACTTTAGTATTTCTGAATAGGGGATTACGACTTCCAGTAGTCATTTGCCTCTCAAAGTGAAATAGAAGTGAAAGGTATGAACTTTACTTGAGAAAATAAGCTTCTTAAAAGAGAAAAGTCTTAAGTACAAAGAGTTCAGGAAAGAAAAAGAAGAATTTGTTGAGGTTGAATAAAAATATTATCCCATACATACCTGAGGGCATTCAGAAGTCCTTCCACAGTGTCAGGAGGTTGTTCCTTTAAAACTTTTATGCAACCCTTCATCTGGGAACAGAAGGATGCCACTATTGAACAATGATATATAAATTGCACTAGCTGAAAACATGGATAAATTTCACTAGACAGTGTACTAAGTTTCTTACCATGTCTTAACACTGTACTTTGAGACACAAGAAAAACACTTTAAATTATTAAAGGCTATTTTAAGTGTATTAAGTCTAACTTTAGTGAAAATGATGTCTTCTTTAATAAGTGCATGTACTTTAATAACTATATATTTAATTTTGAACATGGTTTCTCTAATTCTAAAAACAACATATATACTAAAAGCAATGAGACATGGGGAGTGTTCCATGCCATTGCTTTTAGCATCAGACAGAAGAGATGCTTCAAATGTGACTTTCAGTTTTGTGCTTGCACACAGGGAAGTAATTTTCATTATTCAGCTTAGAGTTGTAAAGGTAGAGTTGTTTGGTAATTAGTTATGAAAAAAAATCATAAGTTAAGTTACAAACTTAATCTGATAAGTGCAGTGAAAGAACACCTGTCTTGAAGACTTTAAAAGACAAACTGAAAGCACTGTCCAAATTTACAAAAAGAGGAAGTGAAGCACAGAAAGCAGAGGTTGAACTGATCTAACCTAATACACTGATTCCTTATATAGGTGATAAAGAGAAACAAGAAATTCCTCCAGTTTATTCAGACGATAGTTTCAGACACTGTGAATCATACTGCAGAAGTGCCTATTTCTTCCCACTACTATAAAGACATCTAATAGTTATTCAAAAGTTACCTAAATGAACTCCAGTTTATTTAACATGACAGATAAAGATGATGTAAAGTCAAGATCTCAACCTTCTAATTTTCCAGGTCATACTACAGTGCTAAATCTAGTATTTTCTTTGTAGCTAAACAGCAACTTTTCCTTATTATGGAATACTTAACTGGACTCCTGTGTTTGCCAATCAAAATTCCCCATCAGTGCAGACCCAAACTCAAAGGGGAATAAAAATTCAAATCATTCATTTCTGTCTCTGTTAGAAGCCTTAAATCAGTCAAATGAGACAATCAGTTAGGACATCCAAGCTAGGTGCCTGGAATTAACAGCTTAAAATACAGCCTGCAACCATGAAAGAATATGGGAATGGTAACTTGCCCCATTGTCTCTGAAATTCTCTTGAAATGGCTCCCAAGAACTGACCGGTCTGCAGAGAAGAGTAATTTTTCATATTATAGCCAAATGATCATCTTTTGATGGCCATATTTCGACGACCATATTTGAACAAATGACCACATTTTAAGAGTTTTTATTATTGTCATTATTGTTAGAGAAGGCTCTCTAAACTAATTAAGCAAATTAAGATTTGAGATTGTGTACTTATTTTTAAAGACTGAATTGTATATTTCATACCTCCTAATATGCTAAGTGCTTCTTTCCACTTTTTCCAATTAACATCTACCTCATAGGACTACAGGGCTTTATGATAAATGTGAAAAGCAAAGCACAAACACTTTATTTTTGGTCCTAACAAGAATTTTACTTATATGGGATTGCAGCCTTCCAGACAAGAGACTGAAGGCAGGAAGTCTACATTCAATTCCCAGGCTTTATCTGCTGCATGACCTTAAGGAAATCTATTCACCTCTTTGGGGCATAGCTTTCCTTCTGTAAAACAAACGGTAGATGTAATGAAATACTGATATCTGCAAATGAAAAATGTTAAAGATGACTCAAAATATTAAAATACACATATATTTATATATACATTGAAGTAGCTTATCTTGCAAAGGCAAAGGCTATTAATTTTTTTTTTCATGAATTACAACTTGTTTCTGCTGGGAGACATGTTTCAAGAGATTCAGTACTGTAAAAACAAAAATATGTAGCACAAAAAGTATTTCTCTGTGTGTGCCTGTAACATGTCCAGTGAATAAAACGGCACTGATTTCCCTCTTTCTGATCATGTCAAAACTAAAACTAAGAGCTCAGTATCAACATGACAATAGTAACACTTAGGTTCTGCTACCTCAGATCTCAGCCAAAGCAAAGAAAATGTAGACTATTTGCTTATTTGATACAAAATTATTGCCAAAAGTGAGCATTTCAGAATAAATTACACAATTAATAAAAATTATGATAGCAGAACTTATTCCAGACTCAGTGTAATACAAAGTTATTTTATATATTTTAGTTCTTTTAGGTTAGTATAACTATATACAGTTGGTAGGATATCACAGCTAACAAAGACAAATGAATATCTGTGTAAAGAAGAAAATAAAAAAGAAAGAAAAACCCAGATCTTTATTTTAATTTCAAACCAATATATGAAAATATTTAAATTTTTCTATTCAAAAGCTACTAAAACAATTTACACAAAAGCATAAGTTTGTGCTGAAAAAATCTAGATGAGAGTAAGTCACTCTTACATCAATCTTTGATGTCTTTGAGAAAGCTCCCACTGGGTGAACATGATCATACAGGATAATAACTCCCACCATTACTCGCATGCAGAACATAAGAGTCTCTTCACTGGTGAATCGACTCCTGTACTCTCTGGAAAACAGAACAAGAAGGGGGGAAAAAGAAAAAAAGCCTTGACTCTTAACTTCTTGAACAGTTTTAGAACTAGATTATGAATGCATGAACTCTAAATTTTGGATTTTAAGGTTGAAAAAGAACCTTAGTAATATTTTAAAGAAAATATATGCCAATGAATTGAATCTCTGAATCTCTGAATTTCAAAAATCGTTGTCAGATCAGAAATAAAGCTAGGAAATAGACATGTATCCTCCTCCTAACACTCCTCAAAGTTCAGATTCTCACCTCTGTGAAGTCAGCCTTGAACATTTTACCAAAGGCTTCCATAGCTCAGAAAATATGTTGGAGATTAACTATATTTCTGTTTACTGTTAAAAACATAACATGCTAGGACCTCAAAAGAAAGCTACTACTTTTGTCTTAATTTCCATTTTGAAGAAGTTAACATTTGGATGCTACCTCTCAGCTTATTAGGACTTTATTTTTCTTTTTCTGTCTAAATTGCACGGCATCATGACATGACCAGAATAAAAGGCCATGGACTTCCAGATGCGAAGATGTTCAATTATCATAAAATTACAACCAGGTATCGAACAGTATAGGCAATGTCTTTATCTTCTGTTGGATAGGCAACAACTTTCTACTTCTCTAATCATACATAACCAGCTTACACAACCAGGTTACTTTAATGACTACTTCCAAAATATTCCTGGACTGTGAGATGATTCCCATGCATACACACCTCTCCAGAATTTTAATAAAACAAAAGCAGTAATAACTTGACCATTAAGCCTTCCTTAACAGAATTCAATGCTGTTTCATGAAAAATATCAAAGATGGATAAAATAATAGATCAGGCTTTCTAATACCAGAACATTCTTTGTAAACAAATGTAGTAACAACTAAAGACCAACATACTAAAATTCATTTTGAAAAACCGATTACCTTAGGTAGTTACTTAAAATACAATGTAAATTCTCTCATATGAAAAAAGTAAGATGTAATGCCAAACTTACGGTGTTTCCAACATGACTTTACATACACTAGCCATAGTACTGAGACAATCCGTTGTATTCTCAATTGGCAAAGTTTTGTTCTAAAAGGGTTAAAAAACAACCACCGTTCAGTAAAATTGTTACTGTAAAACCATAATTAATAATGTATTGTGCTTTTTCTCTCCGATTACCTACTTCTGACACAAAATATGTAGTTGCATTACTGAGTGTTTTCAGCATTGGTGTGGCTTCTGCATAAAACAGGGACATCCTATTGGCCATTTCGTTGTTTACTTCATTCTCAATGTCTAGCTGATGAAAACATGATTAAAAAAATAGTTAGTAAAACTCTTAAAATTTCCATCAGCAAGAGAATATGTAGCATGTGTTCATGTCAGCAAGCAGATTGTTGCATGAATAGTTCCAGTCTAATCACTTGATCTGGACTCCTGATTAACTCTGTGCGAAGAAGAGAACATGACAACTAGTGAATCAAACAAAAAAGAATACTACGACTGGTATGAATGCACACTGGCAAATACCTCAGTGTGAACAGCACATCAAAGTGGTATTTACTTACATGCATATTGTTTATTCTGTTGCGACTTATTGTTCGCCTGTAATAACTGAAGTCATTCTGAATTGCAGGGTTTCTCATCTTAAAGGAAGACAGGAAATAATCAGTTTCAGGTGTTCAAAATATATGGAAAAAAATCAGCAAATATTAAAGGATTTCATTAACCTTAAGTTCATCAAAACGGAGAGTAAAATGTAAGATTTCTGCAAATTCTTTAGCTAAAGCCTGTTCCCGTTCCAGGTGTTGAGTTGGAGTATAAGGTGGGCATGTCAAGGACTCCAATAAGCTCTGCAGGGCTTTCTCTGAAAAGGATTTAGAAGCAAAAATAGTATTCAGTCCACATTAAGACAATTTTAAAGTAAGTTTATCAATACACTTTGTCAGAAGGGAAAAAAATCTCTGCACAGGCCTGACAGGAATGCTTCCTCACTATTCTAGGGTGAGCAACATTTGTCAGACATCTGCCTCTTCAGTCTCTGCCATTTTCTCTCTGTTTTGTAGCACCAAGCTCTTTTTGCCTTCCTTCCCTTTCTTATCTTTTCTGAGATCTTTTGGCTGGCTTTCCTACCAAAAATGCTAGAAAGGGTACCCAAATGCACCCAAATGTTCAACCCTTTCTCCTTCTGGCCATCTCCTCTACTGGCCATCACTCAGTGCAGAGATGGTTCTGCCATGTCACTAAAACGGTGCTCTTAGCCACTGACAGCAATGTGGTCCACCTCCTGCAATACTCAAAAACTGATATCCCGCTTTGTAAGTTTTTGCACACTAGTTCTCCTCCAGATTCCTAATTAAAGGTATAATTACATGATTTGGAAGGAGGGACGAGTAGCAGCAGATATGGGAATGGCAAAGTCAGCTCACAGTATGCCCAAACTTGGATTTTCACCCTGTGAGATACTTCCTTTCCTCTATTGTCCCTGTAAGAAATAATCTCAAAATATTTTCAGATTTCATTCTTTTTAAAACTCTAATCTCTTCAAGAACACAATTTACACAAGGTAAATTACATTAATACAATAAACAGCAGTGAAGTGCAGAACCATGATGCACCAGAGAAAGTTGACATAGTTACAAAATCATGCTGGCTGTTTGTATTCTTCAGTACAGACAGTACAAGTTTAAGAGGTGACGAAGTACAGTGATGTTGAAATTAAAGATTAAAAATATACTCTGATAAATGTAAATTGTAAATGTCTACAGATGAAAAATAACTTAAAAACTGAAGGGTAAAAGAAACTTCACGTGCCTGTATATGTACAGTAACTTCATAAAACAGATATACTAAGACAGGTCTCACCTAATCTGAGTGAAAACTCATAAAAGCGCTTCAGCCTTACAACCAGAGGACATACTGAATTCCATGCTTTTTCCTGCAGCTGGATATCATTGGGGTTTTGAATTGCCTGAAACAAAAATGTCACTGTGAAGAACTCTGACCCATGGATGACAAGCAAAAGGTGCTTCAGTGGTTTTCTAGTATGTTTTAGAAAATGAGTATTGAAAAAACACAAATGAATAACACTATATACGAATAGAAAATTAGTAAATCCCAAAAACCCCATGATTTTCCACCTTCCCTCTCCCTTTTAACATTGGTGATTAATATTCTTTTTTCCAGCACAACATTTACATACAGGAATGTTTTAAATAATTCTTCAGGGAAGGTCTTCTATATGACTACAGGCTACAGAAAGGCTTTTTTTTTTTAAGGTTCTAATGCTTTTGAAATCTGCAACATGTTCTGAACTAACCACTGGCTCTCACTAATAGCAATCGTGAGACTGATGAAAGAAAAGATTCGGTTGGTTTAGTCATATTTTAAATTACTGGGCAGGGTTCATGAAATAAGACACCTGCAGAGTTTAAATAATCTTGTAATTTACTGTGATTCATTAATTCATTTACAGAACACTCATCTTACAGAAGAGTAAATATTAACTTTATCTTTGTAAAATACACCTGTATATTTTCATATACTCAATTTTGCTGTGTATATAGCATGAAATAATGTGTAACGTTTTCTAAGTACAATTCGAATGAGTATTTTCATATAGTTTCATAGAATGTGCATGGATGAAAAAAAAAACAAGGAATCCACTGAATTATGTTCCATTTTGCTTGCAAAGAAGTGTCAATATCTGTAAGAAACATACATCTCTAATTTCTTGTCCAGCTCCTTTGTAAGCCTGGAGGTCTGCAAGCATGCTTTCTGAGTCCTGTAAAACTGCACTGATTTGATTCCATACTTCCCTTTCCCCATCTGTGGGCTGTGCATCTGAGAAACATAAAAGTAAAAGGCATAAAGTCAAAATGCAGCTGCAATAAAAATGGCAACACTACTGAATTTAACTTGACTGTTTATACCTCCATTCTGATTTTATTTTTATCACACTGTAATTCTGCATCTGAAAGTAAAAACAAAGTTTGTACTTTCTATTCCAAGGGGGAGGGGGAAAGAAAAACAGTCTCTAATCTACAACAAAGTAATTTTCTGTAAAATTTGGCAAGTTCTTGCTCAGAATATCTTTTCTCATAAACAAGCATTTCAAAGGGAAACAGAATCACAATATTATGAGGAAATAGAATAACATATGAATCCTTCAGTAAAAATGTCCCTCTGTTTCAACAACTCTACAACTTGACTACAAAAGGTAGTTCTGATTTCTTGCAGCCTGGGGATAAAATCAGTCCTTTGACTGCATGGAGCAGGGGAATACCATGTACCTTAAACTGTCCTTCAATTGACACATTCCTAAGCAGGCAAAAATAAAATGAACATAGAAGGAATTAAAAACACTGCAATAATCTTGAGTTCAAAGCTCACTGATTAGAAAGAACTGCTACATAGAGTTCTAACTTACTAAGCAAGAAATACTAAAAATGCTTTTTCCAGGAAGACTTTTTCTCCTTAAAGAAAGGAGACCCAGTTCTCTGGCCACATATCAGCATGGGATTCATTTGCTGGAAACCTCCACCCTTCAGAACCAAACACAACAGTGCGACTGGTAACGCAGCAGAAAGAATAGAGGTTCTCCAAGCCTTTCTCAATGAGCTTTCAGGCTAGGTTAAGCATTTTTGTCCCAGTCTAGGATCAGTTAAAAAAAATACTGTCTCAGAAAAATTATCCTTTTGCTTAGGCACTATTGGGCATCTACATTAAGACTCACTGTTTAACGTGTTTAAATACATCAAGCAATATGTGGACCTCGCATTAACTGGATGAGACTTACTTCTCTGTAGCTCTGAAGCAATTAATGCTTAAGAAGTTTTCTGTACTTCTGTATGAATCCCATGGAAGTCAGCAAGTGAAACAATTCTCATTTCACACTCTGAAGGTATACCCTAATATCCCTCTAACAGAGAATGGATGAAAGCAATAATAACTAGCTGAACTAAACTGGGTCTTATATCCAGGATAACTTCAAGGGACCAAAAAATTCCTCTCTCCTCCAAAAAGCTTAAGCTTGTCCTCTTCCCTACACCAGATAGACTACTGGGCATCCTTCAGAGAAAAACTGAGTTTGGAAGCCCATACTCTTCTTGGCTTAGCTCACTCCCTCATATCAGGGACGTCAGTTCTTAGAACACTCCAGAAGGAAAGCATTGCCAAGGGGAAAATTTCCTCAAACAGCAAAATCACATCTGTGAAACAGAGTTTATTCTGTGAAGTTCACAGTTTTACTGACTGTTTCTTTTCCCAAGCTGCAAGAAATCTCAGGTATCTCAGGTCTCCATGTACCTTCCAATAAAGAAGGATACAAAACAGTAAACATTTCTCAGCTTAATGATAAAAGTGGTTATTCATCATGCAACAACAGAGAAAGGGACATGTAGGATTCACCTATATATCAGTGTCTACATTTTAAGTTGAATACAAGTTAATTAAAATAATATTTTCAGTAAATATTAAGACACAAAAGAGAATAAGTAATCTATTAGTAAAATAAAGTATGTTACAATGTATCAGATCACCTGAAGCATGGATTGGTTAAAGTGCTTTCACATACTTTTTACAGTATATTTGCTTAAAAATTATCCCCTATAGCGATTTAAATACTTCAGGCTATTCAGTGCTTTTAGATTAATCATGCTCTTAAGTAAAATCATCTATAATTCTTTTTCGGATTTTCCCAATGAATTTTTTGAAACTTGACATAAGGGCGAGTATTCAAAACCAGCTGAGCTTTCTATAGTGTCCAAGCACCTGGGGAAGCAGGAGTAGGAAGAAGGTGGGAGAGTGGAAGAGTGAATGGGGAGGGAGAGGAAGAGGATGGCAAAGGCTACAAAGCAACAGGCTTAGCTTGCACTTGCAGAAGCAGTTTATATTTGTGCTGAAAGTGCTTAGCTTAAAAATAAAGAGGATGATTCAGGCTTTTTTTTAACATGCATTTCACTTAAAAACATAGACAAACAGATGCTCAGATAAGATTATGATTGTGCTTCAAAAGGGATTCTACACAAAAATCTCACCAAAAGATGGCCAACTGAAATACCTGTAACAGATCACTGGGAAAGGTTTCATCTTGCTGTGAACAATACCACTACTAGTACTACAACTAATAACAATAATAGGGATACTGAACTCTTAATGGCTACATTTTAGCCTTTTATGTTGTTTTCTATTCTAACAAAGCCAAAGCTCGTTTTTCTAATTCAAGTAAGAAATGTTATTCCTGAATCAATAATAATATGGCATTACTGCTTCTGAATGATTACCTCTTTTCATATTATTGGACAGAGAACCAATGATCTCCTTGAGTGATTTTAGCACATTTATAAATAAAACCAGAAGCGCTACAAGTTACCCACAGTGAATGCAGGTCCCTTCAGTAAGTTACCATAATCACTAAACCCCTGCAATTAAAGTCTGATATTTTTTACAGGGTTAGCTTTCAGATTATACTCACTACGGAACCTTCCACCTCCAAAAGCTTCAATATCAAAAAATCCAAATTGTTCAAGGTATCTACTTTATTCTTCATCAACATCACATGAGGAAAAATACATAGAAACTGCTATATAGACGTAGAAGGGTATTAATACTAAAAGGCAAGATTATACAAGAGAATGGATATGGAGCCTTTACCAACAGAAAAATCAAATATAACAATATCTCAAGAGTTAGTTTTTGTGAAGTGATACAGGAGAGTAATAGAAGTGTTTCCAATCCATACTCCCTTCTTTAATCTCAAATGCAGACTAAAAGCACAGAATTATATTCCGCCCCGAGCCAAAGTGATCACAGGTTAAGAGGATTCCCATGGAAGACGGTTAGTCTTTGCATTTCTTTAAATGAGGCATCATATCCATCTAAACCATCACCATTTAGGCTCACACAGCCTAGTAATTGAGTAATAACTAAAAGAAGACGTCTTATAAGCTCTGCTTCCAGCCTTTCTTGTCACTGCTGAATACAACTACTAAAACTCATGTATTTTACTGTACTATGCTCAGGTCCTGTTGCAGGTTTGTCACAAACTTGACTTTTCCAATCTGGGAGAAAATTAGACAAAAAGCTAGTTTATGTCCCCAAAAAAGACAAGTTGCAAAGCATTACCGGCTATGATGCATACTGCATTCCACAGGGTGTGAACACCTCCTGTATTTCATATATTAAAAAGAGTGGTATTATGTTGAAATAGTACCCTATCCATGGTTTAAACCCAAGTTCTATTACTGGTTTTTAACTGTTTTTTAACCAAAAGAAAACTATCTCTAAATTGTTAACACTTGCCATAGGCACAATGCAATGCCAGGGAAATTAGTGTCAGACTTGCTCTCATTTGCTTCTCCCTCCAGCTCTGCCAGACTCAGTGGCTGGATGGCTCCAAGAGGAGACAAGGATGTGATCTCTCGCAAACTGAACCATAAATATTTGCTTAGGGCACTTTTAGCAGGGCAAGAGATTAGACTATAATCTCCATCAGGTTAAAAACAGATTAGTTCAAATCTTTCCCCTGGATCAAAGGAATTAATTAATACCCTATTAGACAAAATCTGTGCAGTGGCTCTTTTGCAGGCGTCTTCCAAGAACAGACACATTCAGTCATACATGAAAAATTATCAGCCCAAACTCCCCTCAATCCTCCTTCCATGAATCCTCCCATCAGCGTAGGGGCAATCCTTAAAAATAAGTGGTCTTGATTCTTGGCATGAGGAGTGGGCAGATTAAATTGGGATCTGAAAACAAGCCCATCTGGCTAACAATAAGGAAGAAGGGGAATCTGCTCAGGCTACTTGGCTCTCTAAGCTCAGCAAGTTTAGGCTTTAAAAAGTTCTTTTAATTTTGGGGAGAGGACAGGAATTAAGATGCAGCTTTAGCATATTTTTCTATCCTCCAGAGAGCCATTCAAAGCATGCTATAAAACTTCAGTCTTTTAAGTTCAAAACAAGCTATGGTTAATAGAAACTTCCCATTATTTCTAAAAACATCAATTTGAATATCTAGCCTGCATTCTTCTGAAAAAGGCCCTCTATGGGCAGCAGTAATTTGTGTATGTGTGTGTGTATATATATGTGTGTGTGTATATATATATATATATATTTTTTTTTTCCCTCAAAACATTACATTCATAAGCTGCTATGGAAAGAATCAGAAAAAGAATCAGTCAGGATCCTTTCACCTGATACTAACTTACACAAGGTCAAGACCTAGAGAACAAAAAGAGGATTTGAATTGACAAAATTCATTGTAAAAGAATTCACCTTATGGACTAAGAAAAGTCTTCATTAGAATCTCCCTAACAAACTTAGTTTTCAAATCAAAAGGCAGAGGGAATTATGGAATTAGCGGATAATCAGTTCAAGTATGCATTTTAAGTAAGAATATCCACAGGAAGATACAAGTGTAAAAGAACAATTCAGATCATCTTCCAGAAATGAACAGACTCTTTTTCTCCATCTAAACTAAGTAGATATTAAATAAACAACAACAAAAAATCCCCACTAATTTGGCTGAATGTATCTGGTTTGCTCCAAAGAAAGGGCTTTTTCATCTGCACAGGACAAAATTCTTCACTCTATCACGCACTGGAGACACAAATACTATCTGTCTCTGGCACGACTGTTTGCTTGCAAGGCTGGAAGCTTCAAAATGCTAAATTATTCAACAAGCAGACAGAAGAAGCCTCTACATTCACAGATAAAATTCAGCTTTCAGTAACTTCTGTTTGCACAGATCCACAGTAGATGCCTAACTCTAAATGAGTACTGAAAAGCACCCAGAAGTGTTGATACAGAGCATTAACTGAAATTAATACTGGATTCGACAATGTA